TTTTTTGTTTTTTGTTTTTTGTTTTTTGTTTTTTGTTTTTTGTTTTTGGAGACAAGGTTTCTCTGTGTAGCCCTGGTTGTCCTGGAACTCATTCTGTAGACCAGGCTGGCCTAGAACTTGGAAATCTGCCTGTCTCTGCCTCCCAAGTGCTGGGATTAAAGGTGTGCACCACCACCGCCCAGCTTCATAGGTGTTTTTAAGCAACTCTAAATGAGATATTTTTCTTGATTTCCTTTTTTATAGTTTAACTACCGACATAAAGGAAAGCTACTTCCTGACTTTTGTATATTAATTGTGTATCCTGCTACTTTACAGTGTTCACCTGCACTTCTGTAACTCTTTGGAAGTGTCTCATTTTACCTAGTCCATCCTCTCTGAGTTCAGTGGTTGAAGGAGCTAAGTGTGGGCTGTGTTACTCTGCTGTAACTCGTACTTATGATGGCTTAAGTGTCACTTCTGCTTTTGTGTGAACACCTTCTTATTGGGGATCTCGCTTTTGAGAGCTTACACTTCCAGTGTGGCTTACTTTGGAGAGAACAAACAATGGTACCTGTCACCACAAAACCACACCCTACAAGAAAAGGAAACAAGGAAAGGCCAATGGGATGCCATTCTTACATATAAATCAGAAAATTGTACTACTATAAGTTCTGCTATTGAGTTATGGTTTATTTAGGGTCAAAGTTGTAAATAAACCCTGTGGAGGAATGGAGCAGGGAGAGGGGGAAATAGAGGAGAGACAAGATTAAATAAACCAAAGAAAGTATAAGAGTAAAAAGTGTAATGAAGAGAGAGAGGGAAAAGCAGGAAATCAGAAAAATAAAATGAAGAAAGGCTCTGTGATGGTGAGCAGACCCATGATCAAAATGAGATGAATAGATAAGTGAAGGGGAAAAAAGAGGAAAATTAAAATCTGATAGCTTCTTAAAGTTAATGTGTTCAAAACACTACTAAAAGTGCAGTAGAAGGAAAAGCTAAAAGGGGTAATGTGGGAGACCAGAAAGAAGAGTGTCCAGGAAAAACAAAATTGTGTAAATGTTTAAAGGAGAATAAAAAATGAATACATAAAGCCTTTTAAAACATGGTAAAATAAAATAACTGTAAATGCCTTTAAAGGGGGATTTGGTACCCAGTTCCTCTCCTCCATGCTGGGATTTGTCTAGCCTGCACTTGAGTTGGTCCTGAGCATGATGTTACAATTGCTGGGAGTTCATGTGTGTCAAGAAAACACTGTTTTCTTGAAGTCACTCACCATCTCTGGTTCCTAGAATCTTTTCTTCTGCAAAGATCCCTGAACCATGAGAGATGAGCATTCCAATGTCTCTTATTCTCTCCCATTGGCTAGTTGTGAGTCTTTGTGTCAGTTGGAATATACAGCAAGAAGCTTCTCTGATGAGGGATGAGGGATGCACTGATCTATGGGTATGGCAATAAATCATTAGCAGAGTAATACTGTTGGTTCTCTCTACTAGGGCCCAGAGGAGATATTGACATTTCATTACTGCTGGGAAAGAAAACAGCTTTCTTCATTTGAGTGACTCCGGTATATTGAGCACACTCCAGGGAGACACTACACCAGTAGTAGTTGACTAGCACAAACTGGGTCAGGGGGTGGCAAAACTTTGGATAGGTGGGAAGGAGCAGGAGAATCTGGGGGGACTTAGGAGAGGGGAATGAATATAATCAGAGGGCATCATGTGAAAGCCTCGCAGACTTAAAGAAAGCATTGTTTAAAAAAAAAGGGAAAACACATGGGAGGAAAAAGAAAAAGGTGAAGGATTAGAGTAAAATCTTTCTGGGACCTTGAAAATGTGAGAATGCTGGTTATATAGATCAGGGAGAAGGTAGATCAGACTGCAGGTATATGCAGCAGGAAGAGGGTGGGTCAGACCCCTGAATATTTTACTTTTTTATAGTTTATGCAGGCACTGAGCCTGTTTGAGGCAAGCATCTGCAATCAGAGCTGTCTTGTCACCTAGTATCTTCTCTTCTTTGCACACCAGGGCCCTCTGCTGGCCACACTTAGCTTTGCAGTCTGTGGTCTGGGTGCGTTCTCCAGGCCTCCCAAGAGTCCTCCATTCACACTTCATAGTGTGGCTAATGTAGCTCAGAGGTTCCTCTTGAGCTCATTGGGTGTAGAAGAAGCAG